GAGGAGTTGGATAAATTGCAGAACAAAGTACTAGCCAGGACAGTTGCTCTGCTGATGAAGTGGGGGGAAACTCAGAGCCTAGGAATGGCCTTCTGCAGGGTTATGAAGAAGTACTTAGTTTAAGCGGAAAAACACGAAGCATTTGCTAAATAATATAAATAGGATATAGGATGAGATGAAAAATACTTGGCCTTCATCTGTTATCACCATTGTAGGGAACGAAATGAATAGACTTAAATTCTTTTGCTAGAAGCTGAGACTTAGATTCTTGTAGAAAAAAGGCTTTGTTTTTTAGCGCTTTTGGCTAACAACCCAAAATTTAATGTCTAGTTTCAATACGATGTTTCGACCCTGCCCCTTGCCAAATCTTCATAAGTAAGTAAGTTCTTGCCGTGAGAAAGAAAGTTTTGCCGTGAGAAAGTAAGTTTTGCCGTGGGAAAGAAAGTTTTGCCGTGACAAAGAAAGTTTTGCCGTGAGAAGAGAAAGTTTTGCTGTGAAAAAAGAAAGTTTTGCTGCGAAAAAAGAAAGTTTTGCCGTGGCACCTGTGGGCCACCGTATTATACAGTAGTGTCCCGAATACAAGAAACACAATTTTAAGAAACACAGACCCTAATTTTATAAAGAATAACCCCTTTGATAAGAAACTGGTGAAGATCTGAAAAATGCTTGGTTCTTATTCAAAAATTATCATATAACTTAATCATTTGAAAAACAGAACAGAACATTAATCATTCTAAACTTACTATTTTGTCCTTTATTTAATAAAAGGGTAAGTGAAGGTTCACAATCATTGACCATAAGAACTGTTTGTTTTCAGCTTTCCAGTTTAATGAAATTGAGCCTGGTGAAATGAAAAAGAATTTTGAATGCAAACTAAGCAAAAAACACTTTTCTTGAATAATTGTAGCTTTTCCTACAAGTGATAAATTACATCTACAACTCAAAATATCATGGTATTTTTATCACAATCATTGAGATGGTGTCTGAGTAGATGATCAATAGTATAATATGGTTTTTTTTATAAGAAACATTCTCCTGATTTTAAATGTATATCCTCATTTTATAAGAAACACATCAGACCTGAAATCAAAAAGTTCTTTCTTATATGCGGGATACTACTGTATTTTTTGGTGATAGTATTAGAAAAAGTAACGAAAATCCATGAAAATGCAGTAGACTGGCTTGAAACGCCATATGGAATTTTTCCTTTATGAAAAATAAATGCAGTTAAAATCCTGCTCATCAAAAATCGCTTTTTCCAGTACACGTGCAAGCAGTGATCCACAGCACAGAATATGCATTAGGTGGCATTCGCCCTACCAAACTCGGCACGATCTCAGATTGCTGAGTCCATAATAGTATTTGAGATTGAGGTATCCCTTGATATTTAATTCCGATCAAGGAGATTTATTTGAATACACTGTAATCCTTGATCGATTTTAAATAACGTAGGTGCGTGAAAACATTTCACGGTAGTGGCAAAATACTGGCGATCTTGTTATGATAATTTGCTTAGATATTTAAGAACCACGAACCTAGGTTTCCAGCAGGTTGCGCTGATCTTTTACCTTAGCTGTAAGATAGATGACTTCGACGACAACGCAGAACCTGGTACGAGCAGGCAGGTGAGACTGATTTGTTTTAAAACGGAAACCATCTGCCCTAGGTATCTTCGGTTTTGATGTTTTGAAAATGAATGTCCTGTGTTGGTTGCCCAAAGGCCCCATTCAACACATGTTTAGCTTCGCTTCATGGATGTGAGGTTTATAATTTTTAACACCGCAACCATCAATGCGAATTCCTTGGACGTAATACTTTGAACAAGAAATCAACAAGCGCAAATAGGACGTAAACTGGACACTGAATACCCACTACGATTTTGTGTTGTAAGATGGAAGAATGTCGAAAACAGAGCAACTTGCAAGTACGAAAGGCCAGTGTAGAGCCACGTGAAATATTCGAGCAAAGAAATGGATCGATCGAGTTTTTAGAATTTTGTAAACTGCACAGACACGAAACGATTCTGAAAGAATTCGAGAGCATTTCAGCGAACCCTATAGATGGCATCTATGTTTTTCCTTCACTAAAATCGCTCCAAATATGGTACGGAGTTGTGTTTGTAAGTACAGGCCTATACGCAGAAGGGATTTTTCACTTCAAGGTTATACTGAACGATGACTATCCTTTTTCAATGCCAAGCATCCGATTCGACAGCAACGTTTTTCATCCACAAGTGAATCCAAAAGGCACGTTGAATATTAAATACTCAATTAGCCCGAATGAACACAAGGGCAAGATTTGGAATGCGTTAAAATATACAAGAGACTGTTTTCATAATATCAACCAAGCAGCCTGCTCCAACCAAAATGTTCTTAATATTATGACAACAAACTCTGACGAATTCAAAGCGCTAACCAGGGGGTGTGTCCTTGAATCACTCTATGAACTTGAAGAACGTGGAGCAGGAGGGTCAAACTCGGACTTGGAGATCGATAACCCATTCAATGCTAAATTGCTCTCCACTCAAATCTGTTCAACAATAAAAAGAGAATTTTCAAGTCAAGTGTTGGAAGATGATACAGAAAACGAAGAAAGTTTAATTAGCTGGACCAAGCATACCATGGGTAAAATGTGGAACAATTTTACAAGCTTAAACCAAAATTTGTTGAGCCATTCGAATGGATCACCAAAAAAGTCACCTGACAGGAACTTGAATGGTCATTCACATTTGTAGGATATTTGTAACACTAAATTGATTTGCTTCATCAAATTTAATCTCATTTTTACAATAATTAAATGCCTAAATATTTTATGGTAATTATTTACTTGTTATTAAAGAATTCGATTGCTTTCCTCCCGATAACTCTTTCTTGGATGGTTTTTTGGACTAAACGTGAGTGGTCTGTGACACCCCCCCCCCCAACCTGGAAGAAAGTTTCTGGACCAGAGGCTAGACTTTGGCAGCGTGAAAACTTTCCCTTCCCCCTTTCATTCAGGGCCTCCTCTTTGCCTTGCTGATATCTCTAACAATCTTGTGGAAATTCCTTTCCTTGCCATTACTGCAAATTTTGTACCATTATTAACTTCAAGGCGACATTGAAATTATTAGCTTTTCAGGACCCATACAGCAAGGGACCTTAGGGAGATCACAAACCTTAGTTGTCTCAATGTATCTTAGGACTTCTGATTTGCTATTAAACCCACTTCTGAAGATATATCAAGCACACTTGCTTGACACGCCCTAAATTTATGATCCTTTTTGACATTATTATTCTGCATGTTTAATAAGAGTTAATATCACGAGAGCTTTTTGAGCTTTAACTGATTCGCTGTAATTATTTGCTATTCGTTATCAATGGCGGCCTGGCCTTTTTTGCCTGGGGGGGGGGGGGCAAAATGGCGCCCTTTCATAACTAACATTATTGTCTTTTCCTGAAAAGATTGGCAGTCTGGTAATTAACCCTGTCTGTCAAGGATAGACTGACCCCCATGTAAGCACAGGGTTGCAAATAAAACAATTTGTCATGGGGGCGTCAGGACAAGTTGGACCGACTCGCGTACAAAATGGACTGACTCTTCAAAGTCAATCCAAGCAGATAAACTAAATAAAAACATGTCAAGAACATGTTTGGGGAAATTCCAAGAGAACCTATGATGTGGTAAAATAAGGGTTATGTTCTCTTTGTAACTGTTGTGCTCATTTGGCATCTTGGAGGGGAATCCAAAGCACCAGATGTACTTTGCAAACTTGTACTTTGGGGCAACAAAACAAGCTCAAAACATACATATAATACAACTAGCAGTCAGGGGGCAAATAAGGGGGTGTCGGGGTAACAAATAATGGAAAGGGTCGGTCCTAGCCAGCAAGTGGAGGATTCTAGTTACTCATAAGGCTAGAAAATGCGATTTCTAACATATCTTCGAATTCGCTATGACACACATGTTATTTGATGCAAAATAAAGTAAATTTTTCTTCGAACTTGAAAGAAATATTATTAAAGGCTAAACAAAACGCAGGAAAACAAAAGGAAAATTAGGACCGAACCAACTTTCTTGTCAAAATCAATGTATGGCCCTTGAAAAAAAACCTGAACCTGAAGTACCCGCTCGTAAGAAACATCAGGGACACCCGAATGACCAAGGGGCAAGGGGGGCAGGCTTGAGTAAAAGAGCATTTGAAAGATAATTCCCAGCCTCTACTAATTCTTTCGTAACTGCCATTTCACTTCGATCTTCTGTAGGTATCTTAAATATTGCCTCCCTTTGGCATAAGGAATTGGTACAAGTTTTGAGAAACGTCGTCATGAATTAGGCACTACAATCAGAATTTAATATGAATCTATCTGATTATTAGAAATGGCCGGTTTCAAGGGGACTTAAATGAAACGGGCGCTCTGGCCCCCTTGCCCCTCCTACCAAAAGAATAAGAGTTGGTTTTTTTATGTTTTAACTCGGAATGCACTTTTTAGCGTTATTTGTTGTTATGTTGTGCGCCTAAAACTATACATTTGTGGAAATGACTTGAGATAACAAACGGACTAATCTAGGATGAAGCAATTAAACAACCGAATTGTCTGTTAATCAGGTATCTGAAGAACAGCAGAGCCAAAGAGAATCATTAAAATTCAAAATTTTCCCTGGAAGGGGGTGGGGCATGAGTCCGGACACCCTAAACACAGACTGTCTTTGAAGCATGTCTGTGATCAAAATCAGTTTCATATTTTTTTTGTAAAATTGCTAAGAAAAGCGTTCCATTCCCTTTCAAGGAATATTGAAAAATAAAAAATTATCTCTGTTAAAAGCCATGCTTATATTTTTCATGTCTAAAACTGGAATTACGCCGCCGAAGGCAAAGAACCAATCATCGAAGAGATTTTTCATTTGAACGCAGACAACCAAAAACCTTACAGAGTTTCAACTATTTCCAGGGCATTTCTATGGTTTCAAGAGGAAGGACAAGGGGGGCGAATACGAGGTCTTCCCAAAGTGAGGTTGATGGGCAATTGTTGACATTTGATCAGATGTGACGTTGCTCTAGAGAAAAACTTGTCTGCATGACCAAAGTTCGAAGACACAATAACATTTTTGAACGCTCTAAAACTCAAAGAGCACAAAACTGTTTTAAAGAATACCGGAAATTCTAAGCAACATGTCGAAAACGGAACGAAGAAAACGGAAAAGGTCAGGAGATGAGACCGACTTGGGGAACCGAAACGTGACCTTAGCAGACGTGGAACCTTCTGTGAAGAAGCCGGTAATTTCCTAACCTAGATATACTCTAGTTCACTAGTTAAAAATCTGTTTAGCGCTCTATTGCAGAGCCACACCTCACTGTTCTTATTTCTTGATTTAAAAGCTGCTTGCATTCAAAGACACTGTCAACAACACATGGATTACGTCTAAGGAATTGTGGTAATGCCACGAAATCTCGTGCTCCAATCAAACATAATTGGCCTAGAAACTTGTATAACTTCTCAGGGAGGATATTTTCTCTCGAAAGTTAAATGATATTTCAATTTCCTTGTTAAATTGTACCACTGTATATGTTTTGTTCTAGAAGATTATATAAATATCATTTTGGAAAATGAGCTGCATATAGTTGATACCAAGAGATCTCTTTAGCATTAAATAATTTGACCAATACTCTCTTATTTTCATATATGCCATGAAAATAATTTACTAACAAATATGTTTGATTATTTCTTATCTCAGACATCCATAGAAACTTTTGCAAATGGTGCAGTGAGGCCTGCTATTTTTCATGACCCTGAAAGCCCAAGTGCTAGCAACTGGCCAGTTCCTACATCTCAAATTACTTTGGAGGAAGCCAAGAGAGGGACAGAGGGTAGGTGTGGCTGTGAAATAGGGTTGCAAAAAGAAGATAAACTCTAATTTTTGAAGGAAGTGAGAAGAATACGCTTTATGCTTTTTTCGAGCAATAAATAAAAACCTATATGCCTCTTGTTGCTTTTAAAATGTTGAAAATGTTTAAGCATATTTGACAAATGTCTCATGTCAAATGGGAAAACTACAAAATCTGCCTTGTATTCAAATTATCTGGATTTAGGATTGACACAATCTGTATATATGACAATTTCCCCCTTTTGTCTTTCTCTTGAAAGTGGTATGTTGTTATCTTGTAAATTTTAAGGGGTACATGATTCAAAGAGCATTAGTGTTCATAATAAATGTAGTTTCATGCAAATATTTCAGTGTATTTTACAAAAGATTTACAAAGTTACACAAGCCATATATATAACGAAACTTTATATTATGGTTTTTAAACTTTGTTGCTAAATGGTTAGTATACCAAGTTATTTTGCACATAGGTTAAGAATCTGCTCGTTCAAAGGACCAAAACATTTTTCCATTTCAGTGCCAGTCAGGGTTTATGCAGATGGTATTTTTGACCTTTTTCACTCTGGGCATGCTAGAGCTTTGATGCAGGCAAAAAACATATTTCCAAATGCCTACTTGATTGTTGGAGGTGAGTGAAACCTTTGCAGAACATGTTGCAGGTGATTTATTAAGAAATGTTTGAAATAATATGGATGTAGCAGGAAGAATTCAATTAAATGTAGCAGGTGGTTCTGTGATCTAAGCATATACATCTTCTACTTTATGGTGTTAAACACATTTAGCAAGATAATTTGCAGTTGGGATTTACAATTTGCAGAAAGGCAGCTGCTGTCTCAAAAACAATAAAGGACAGCAGTGTTTATAAGCAGCCAATGAGAGTGCCCGTTTCCAAATCTTTTTGAAACATCATTTATGCCCCATTAACACTTTAAAATTCAACAAGAGGTTAGGTGCTCTATTGTGTAGTTTGCCTTAGACTTTTGACAAAGAAATGTGTTAACTTGAAAAGCACAGAATAGAAGAACCCCCAGGAGGGAGACTACATTGTTTTTAGCAGATGTTGCCTTTGAGAATAAGTGACTATTTCTCGTAAAGTTTTTCACAAGTAATGAACTGAAATTGAATTGATTCAGGTTGAAAGTTCCAATAAAAATTTTTCCATTAAAATTGGTTCATATCACTTGAATATGATTATCACTGGCGCATTTAAATGTTAGCAATTGAGGGTTACCCATATCATAAGGGTCCTTTTTTATAAAGAACTTCAACAGCCAAATCACATGGTCTGATATGCTGTTTCTGAAAAATAGAAAAAAATAAACCGAGTTGTTGCTGTTCCCTAAAATCTGTTCTGTTCTGTATCAAAAAGCTGTCAGAAGTGGCTGAGTACTTGCTCACAATTTCTCGATTGGGCACGAGTTTATGTCCCTCTCCTTGCAGGCAAAAACAGAGATACAATTTTTTGTTTGGGGGAGGCAGCCCTGATAAATCAGTGTAACAACAGCCATATTTTACAAAATAAAACTATTTTTATACAACTTAAGTTTTTTTTGGGGGAGGGCAAGGCCCCACAGTATCTTGGTCTTAGCTTGCAGGTACCAATGCTGTTTGGTCATATATCTGAAATTTTGGGAAAGTTTAAAGTGCACTTATGACAAATGTTATGTTAGGCAAGGCTTGTGTTTGAAATAAATCACACAATGTAGCTCTATGCTGCCACTGTTTGAAAATCTTGCATCATTTCCAATAAGTAATGGGTGGGACTAAAGTGATTGTGTCACAATCTAGAATTGCTGTATTAGGAATTGATTCCAGTGGTGGAAATTATGGGGTCAGGCCCCCCCCCCAATCAGCAAGGTCGTTGGAAAATTCGGGCTTTTGTTGGACAATTGACAACTGTTTAACATGTCGAAAATGCTCCAAGAAATCGTTCTGAAAGGGAATTTCAAGCTAATCTTAGGGGCGTAATTGCCAAATTTTCTGCACACTTGGCTCACAGGTGATCTGCCTTTTCCCTTCTTACCCTAGGGGCCTTTATAACCTTTCTGTGCTCTTTTTGAAAAATTCGAATGAAGCATAGCTGATAAAATATCAGCCAGTACTAAGTAATCAAACAAACAATATATGACCAAAATCAGAACTGCTTGCAAATTGTATATTTAACTTCACCTATGTGGCTGTGCAAAAACCCAAAGACTTCTGCTTTTCCATGTTACATTCAAAGTAGAATCTTATCTGTTATGAACTTTGGGAGAGCATTCGTTTTTATTATACACTGCTTTTATCCCCAATGATACATTATATTTTCATGACATATTTAGTAGCTGCCATGACACTGTGTCCCTTAATGATACTGTTCCAGCCTTAATGATAATATTGCTAATTTGTTTTAAAATGATGCAGCAGTTGAGAGTACTTTTTTACTTTATACTGCTTTATACTTTGATGTATTAGGGCTTAAGCTGTACAAAAAGTAATTTCCGAAATCGTTTTTTTGCTTTCTGCTCTGTGGTCTCTGCTTTTGTTTGATGTAGTTTCAAGTAATTATGATTATCACTGTTATTTTGTTCAGACTTCATGAATGATGTCATCTTTTAATGCAATCAGCAGGATTTTTTTAATCAACCATGTCAGTCAGAAAGAATTGAGAATTTTTCAAAAGATTTTTTACTTACCCTTCTCACAACGATTTTGTAATGAAATTAAATCAGATTTTGCCAGGATTTGCATTCTTTCATAATCTTGTTTATTTTTCTTGTGCACTTAAATGTTTTCCTCATTATCACCAGTTTGCAGCGATGAACTGACCCATCGACTAAAGGGCTTCACAGTCATGAACGAAAGCGAACGGTATGAAGCATTACGTCACTGCAGATATGTTGATGAGATCGTCAGGGATGCTCCTTGGGTTCTTGATGTTGAATTCTTGAGAGAGCACAGGGTGGGTAGAAATGCACATATCTAGTAACCAACTTTGAATGAGAAAACATTACGAAGATTTGTTTCATTTCACGGTTTTGATGGCCTAAAGAGCATACAATGAAATACGAAGCTTAGGAGCAAAAAAACTATTTACATTTCATACTGAATAAACGTCGAGATAGTTTTATATGCGGCTCATTCATGGCTTTAAATTAGTTTTCATAATGGAGTACAGTAGCTTCCAGCTATATAGCCCTGATGCAGCTGCTATTATGCCCTTTCGGTATAAATAAAGGTCAATTGGTGAACACAAATTTCATCAAAAACTTGCTGTTTTTTGTACGAACGCTCAGTTCTGACACCTTTCGTCTCCATTGGGTAAAAAAGTGGACTGTTCCTAGCATGAACACACGAGTGGCTTGAAAAAATTGGCGTTAATTCCAAAACTGCACGTGTTACTTGGAACAAGAACTTCATGGGAACTGAGACCAATTAAAAGGAAGAAATTAAGAATGTTTGAATGTTTGAATGCAGGATTGATCGACCATGGAAAACAAAAACCAAGTCTGCACGCCATTTACAAAAACACGCCATTTATATTTGCAATTAACATTTAACCAAGAAAATACACAGAGTTTTGGCAGTAAGGCTTTGAGGAACAACAAAGTTTCGTTGCCAGACAGAAAATCTTAATGTAGCCCAGATCAGCAAGAAAATGAAAAGGGCTGCAATTTGACAGCCAGCTTCGATCTACTCAATAAAACGTTCACGTTCATCATTATTTTTACCGTGGTGTTTTGTGTTCTGCATGAAGTAACATAATTAGCTCTTGAGTATTCAGATCGAGTAGGATTTTCCAAAGGGATAATTCCCGGGAACTGAAACAAGAGGAAGGGTTCCAACAACACTGAATTGGAGCTGACCGTTGTTCTTATTTAGTTGCTAATGGAAGAAATCGATCTACTTTTAGATTGACTTTGTTGCTCACGATGACCTACCCTACAATTCAGCGGGACAAGATGATGTTTACAAAGTTATCAAAGAGATGGGGAAATTTGCTGCTACTCAGAGAACAGAAGGGATTTCCACTTCTGATATTATAACGAGAATTGTCAAGGATTATGACCTGTATGTTCGAAGGAACCTTTCCAGAGGGATAAGTGCTAAAGAACTAAATGTCAGCTACATAAAGGTTTGTTTAAACAGAATCATTAAAGTGATTTTTCTAGTGATTTTATAAGTACTTTATGTGGGTTGTATCCTTTAAGCTGTTTTTGAGAGACATCTGGTTAACAACACCTGCTTATAGAAACATTGTGGATTAAGAACCTAGGGCAGGTTGAAAGTTCAAAGTTAGGCCCATATCTTTTTGGAGCGAGTTCACCTAAAAGGTATAATACATTCTTTATTTAAAACCACATTAAATTAACCATTATAGTACAAATACATTATCAACCTAATTCTATTTAGAATGATAAAATTAAGAAGAAAGGGAAAACTTCAAATGCCATCTAGTATACATAAGATATTTTTCAAATTTAACGTTACGTATTCATACCGGAAAGCAATTGGTGTTGACCCAAGACTATTAATAAAGTTGACTATTTTCAATATAACTCTGAATGAACTCTATAGTTTGAGATTTTGAATGGAATCAAACAACTTTTAAAAACCAAAAAGTTATTTTTCCGTTCAACTCTCATTAGATAAGAAGCTACTCAAAGTGAAAGGTAAAATCATTGGTGGATGTTTACATAAGATTTTTATATAAGCCGATGTTTACCTAGGCCCTTGTACTACCTGACATCTATCACTGATTCTGTTACTCGAATGTGTTTAAGGAAATATTTCCACAGTTCCATGATAAGACTCGTTTTGTGCCTGCTTTACTATTTTGTTTTATATTCGTATTTTACAAGCAGCGTAAAGATTTTGAATGTTTAAAAAGGTTTTAAAACGATCGATGTCTAAACATCGTACTTCAAATTTTTTTTTCTAGGAAAAGGAATTCCAAATGAAAGATCGAATCGATCGAATCAAAGGACATATTAGTAAAAAATCAGAAAAGCTGAAGCAACATTTGGAAAGAGTAGGGGACAAATCCCAAGAGATAATACATCGCTGGGAAGATAAATCACGTGAATTTATAACCGATTTTCTGGACTTATTTGGACGTGATACCCGACTGGTAACTATGAATTAGTTTAAAATCACCCCACAGATGCTTCTTCACTGGTCACTCCTTTCTAAAAACAATTATTAATTATTTCAATTATTTATAACAGTTCTAAAGATATGTAAGATTATGTGAACTAAAGATATGTAAAGATATGTAAGACTAAAGATGAGGTAAGACTATAGGTGAACAAACCAGAAATGACTGACCAGGCTGCGATTTGAAGGGGTGTTCTCCCCAAGATGAAACAAGTGGGGACCCTTCTGTGAACAATGTTGCCCTAGAATCCACTAATTTAACTTAATTTGACACCAAAGATTCTGGTACTACTGCACTGATCTAAAATGTTGATAGATGTCTTAGGTTAGGTAAAATGTTTGAAAATTGCAATCTGCTATGTCTCCCTGCAGAATCAACTATGGGAAGAGAGCAAAAACCGGCTAAGCATCACGGGACAGCGAATCAAGCGCGCTTTGTCACCAACTCGCCTTGAAGAGAATGACGACGAATTCTACAGCGTCGAATCACCAACATCTTCATCGTCGTCATCTTCTCTGCCAAGAAGACCAAGTTCAGCATTAGCAGAAGTGAGTGAAGATGAAGACTGAATTCAAAGCAACCAATTATGTCTCTCATAGATGATTGTATTTATTCACTCACGTAAAATAATTTTTGTTGTTTCCGACTGCATGCTTACTGCGTCAGTATAAGTTTTGAATGTCTGTTATTGTTTACAAATAATTTTGAATAGCGTTAGGTTGCTGTTTTTGCGTCTTGAAGATGGGATAGTGTTGAAATAATGATTTAACATTCGTTCTTTTGTCAGTGTGAGGAAAATTAAGGGCATGGCCGTGCCGGCCACATGTATTTTCTTCTTACGAAGTTTCTTAGTCATTTTTATATGAAATCAGATTCCAAAAAATGGACCGTTCACCGGCTGCTAGGTCTGCTTCATCTGTTGTTCATCCAGTCAGAAGCCCAGTGCTAAACTGTGTCACAAAATGAACTTTATCATGCTTTATTGTTTTGCAACGGACGTCAAAATCAAAGCTAGATCATCTTGTACTAAACTCTTTAGTGTAAAGAGTGTAATTAAAGTTATCGTTGCATGGCAAAGGATTTTTATTTCGACCAATTAGAACCAATATTCCAAGTCTATGTTGCCCAGTCCATCTTCCATTATCTTGCTCTTAATCGTAATAAGTATAACTAATTATGCTAAGATATTAACACTTTAATTTATTTGTTTTTTTTAATTTAGATAGGTGTTGATATTTTCATTGCAAGTCGTCTTGCTAATCAAGTTATCAGTGATTTTCGTCGTTTTTTAGGATTTCATGATTTTAATCAGACATAATGATTTTAATCATAGTCGTTAATTCTTTGATTTTATCGGAAACGATTTTATGTTTGTATCATGGATTTTGAAGGCTCCTTTCTTTGATGACGTTGTAGACAGAAATTGTTCCCTTCTACAACATTGTATTTGCAATGATTTCATCTCTGTGATAGATAATTTTTGTGTCCTAGTTGATGGAGTAATTAACGAAAACTGAGAGTAACGTATTTTAATTGTTGAAATGTTACCTTAGTGGTTTGAAGATCAAGATTTGTGGAGGCAGCGAGTCGTTTTTGCTTATTTCTTTTCAATATTTTGACGACATTTGCAGTTATTATTTAATTTTAAATTTCGAAATAGAAAGTTCAAATGAACACAGGGCTATTAGGCACCATAAATATTTCTTTGTTTTTCAGAATTTTTCGAAAATCTGAAATTGCTTAAATCTCAGACAAATTTTCCAGTTCATATGGCTTGTCCTTTACTTTGCTAATCAACTGGTATTCATGTTTTGCTGATGTATGAAAATATTTTTCAAATACTTTTTAGGATACTTAGACCAAGATTACATAAAGAAAAGACTGCGCTTGTTTTGAGAACATTCCGTTGCGAAACCTAACCTATCTGCAAAGCCATTAACCGAGGTGGACCTATACTTTTTGAACGAAAGGCTAGTAGGTTGGTTGTTTGAAAAAATCCCCAAAAATACAGCTCATCATCTCGCACATGGCAGTAGCCTACATATTTTGGTGTACACGGAAGGCTTCGAAAAATATCTTGAAATCAATCAAACAATATCTTGCGAAAACCCGATGGAAATATATTTGTAGTACTTGTTTAATATCAAAATGTTTTATCAAAACTTATACCATAGAATCTCTTCAAACTTTCGAAGATGTCCCAATACTTTTTGAACATAAGTGTGCGTTTTTACATTCCTACAAGTGTAAGTGTAAGTGCTTGCCTGCGGAGGCATCCTGTTGCCATACTAACAATAAGAGAGGCTGCGCTTCACAACAACCTCGTTTCGAACTTAGTCACTGAAATATTTAAAAGATTGGAAACAAAGTTGGAAAGAAAACAAGGGAGTCACACCTATATGCCACCCAGAGGAGTGTATTAAATGCAGTTGTATTTCTAAAAAAAGTTCTAGCATTTTCAAAGAAGAACAGGAACAATATGGTGAGTACATTTAGGCCTTATTAATTGAGTTTGGGAGACAAACATGGTGTAGACACAAAGTCTACCGTTTGCCTTTGCTGCAGAAGTGCTTTATTTGGTGAACTTATTAACACCATTTCTCTGAATCTTATAAAATATTTGAAAAAAGTTTTAGTAATCTTCCCTATGACCTTTCCTTATTTTCACAGCTTTAAAGTTTACAAAGCATTAAGTTTGGCAAAATGTAGTGAATATCTCAGATTTAAGAATTAAATTTGAAAGTCATTTCAAATGTAAACAATATGCACTAATCTTTTTCAAACTCAAACTCAAAATCTTTATCAGCAAAAACAAATGTTACTTACAATATACCAAGAATTAAAATTTAGAATACAAAAGTTAGCATTTTCAAAAATTTAATTAATTTATTACATCAGATAAAGTGGTTTGTTATGCTGAAGGACACATGAGAAAAACTTGCCAGGAGCTATCGAGTCATATGTTCCTATTTTCTGTCAGAGAAGAAAAAAACTAGTGTTCTTATTGCGCTTAAGCTCTAAGATTCTTCTCTATTGCACAGACCAAGATTAAATAATATTTTCAAATAATATTATAAAACACTAAACTCTAGTCTGTTTCTATTTCAGGCAGAAAACTTTTCTCCAGAAGAAATTGAAGGTCATTATTCAGTTCTTAAATATTGTTATAAATAAGTCCACCATAAATGCTATCTATTTTAGTATCAGAATTAGCATGTATCAGTGAAAAATATAAGCAACAAATATAATGCTAGATACAAAACAATGCAAGTTTTATATTCTCCAGAATTTTTTTTAAATTTTGAAGAGAAGTGACAAATCTGGGTTCAGTTTTTTTAACTTTATTTGCTACTATCTAGCTTTGAAGGTAGATTTAGGATGCAGAGAAGCTGTGCTTATCGAGCAGTGTCCTGGCCTTCCTCTTAATGTGACCACACCTTGTGATTCCTATGCCTGAAATCACAGAGAGCTGGTAACTCTGCTCGCTCTAAGTGAAACATTGGTTACACCAGAACTTGAACCTAATATCTTTGGATCTCTTCAATTTGCATTGGAAACCAGCTGTATCTAAGGATGTTATTGTGTGGTAATGATTTTATGTCGTATGTAGAGTTAGCCTCTATCTATGATTATCTTTAAACCAATACAGACTTGCAAGTTAATGTTACAATAGTCCAGTTGATTTTCAAAACATTTTCCAATTAGAATTCAAAGAATGCTTTAGCTTGTATGACAGAGATGGTGATGGCTTGATATCAATTGATCAGTTGAAGCTTGTGATGAGGTCACTTGAACAATGCCCAACACAAATGGACATCAATGGTGTTTCTAGAACATTGGGTATGTGCTAACCAGGCTATAGTTTGGTTAAGAAAACCAGTTTTTCCAACATTCACCTCAAAATTTATTGTGATTTCAGTCTTAATCAGAAGACAAGATCCCTTTTTAGCTCTTTAAAACAAATTTTAAAAAAAATGAAAAAATCAATAGCTGCAATCTGATATTTTTCTAAGCTTCTTGATGTTGACAGAGGTGCTTAAATCACACAAAAGGAATTCTTATTGATCTATATAACTCTTTACAGGCTTTTAAAAATGATGGTTTTCTAAATTGCTTTCCAGGTAAACAGAAAGTGAGCTTTCCAGAGTTTCTAGATATACTTTTGGGTTTCAAATCAAAAACAAAAACTGATTGGAAGGAGGAGATTTTAGCTGCATTTGAAGCATATGATAATAGTGGCAAAGGTTACATAAGCATGAAGGATTTGCGACACATAATGCTAAGAACCGGAGAAAAACTGTCTCCACCAGAATGTAAGTGTTTACTGCAATTTTGGCTTTGCTGCTAGTTTTTTCTGTTAATTTTTGCTAAAAAGCATGTAAAATCTCTAAGGTTCTGTCACTTTCTGTTGTGGCCCCAAGAGAGCAAAATAACCACGAGGAAGAAGGTAGCTACAAGGGGGAAGGAGTTATTATAACATGGATTTATACTAAGGAAAATTTGGTTCATATCAGTCTCCTATATATGGATACAATGAAATGGGCAGAGGCATATAACAAATAATACATTTCTGTAAAAAATGTGATTAATATAGCATAATTGTGATAAAAATGATATAGATTATAGCCCTTGAACCATGTCACACCAATATATGACACTGCTTGTATCTGATGAAACGATGGATCAAGCCACAAATTTTTGGCTTTTTAGCTAATATTCTTCACAAACAGACATAGATAGATCCAGACCAGGGTAAGACAAGTCAGTATTATCTCTAATAAAGAAAAGTTGGTCCTAATCATAATAATTAGGAAATACAGCGTACCATGTAGTAATGTTTGTTTGAAAGATTCCAGATTTGAGCAAGATATAGAAACTATAAAATCAGACTGTGTTTAAGGCTTTTTTGTTTGATTCCAACATTATCATCATTTGATTCTAGTTGAATACATGCTGTTTCAAGCAGGCATCAACAAAAATGCTGCTCAAGTCAGCTATCATGGTATGAACATTTTGACAGTGATTAAAATATAACATTATTGATCATTTCAAAGATTCCTTTATAAAAAGACTTTAAAAAATGCAGAGTAATTCTTTATTTTCAGCGGAGAACTAGATAAACTGTTTGATAGGTATTGAATATTGAATACAATAGAGATTTAGAGTTAAGCATTTTTGACTAGGACTTTTAGCTGACTAGGACCTTGATCTATCATCTATCCTTCGGGACAACTTTTTTTACAAGATCAAGCTTACTTACGTTACAGATTAAGTAACAGAAATCAGTTTTAAAAATGAGCTAATTTTATTTTTTCCAGGTGATCATTTGCAAGTTGCAACTATTTCAGCCCACCTTGCAATTTACTTTGGTTTGACAAAATTCTGAAGAGCCAACTTGTCTCTGTTATCCATGTGGTTCTTGGAATATTTTGCTAAATCAATTTGCTGCATGATTAGGTCCTTTTACATCAGAAATAAGTCATAGTCACACTTTCACTAGTTTCAAACAGTCTTGCATATAAATTTTATATGACTATAAACATAAATCCAACTTTCAGCAGAGTGACTAGAAGTGAGCGGACTGTACTATAATTTCCATTTTCACCTCTAATTTCAGAACTACTAATGCAATCTCTCAAGACATGTTCAATTTCATTTTAGAACTGGCCAAAGCATTTGCACATGTATGACTGCCATACTCAGCACCATGGGTTACCATTTTTAATTAGTATAGTTTTAAATATGACTGAATATCTTGAAACAGCCACTGATCATTTCAGGAATGTCAGAAAAACACGATGCCATGTCAGTGCAAGCAATTAAGTTTCTAAAGGCTTAATTTAAGATATTATATTTTTCTGTTGGCATCAAGCAAATTTTCCAAGACAGTTTTGAATTGGGTCTCTTTGCTGTCCCAACTTGAAAGGCATTGCACCTTGATGGATTTCTAAGGCACTGCAAACCATTATTATTTAATTCAATAAATGTAGATATTTATTTCAGTTGTTTATTTAATAATTATTTAAATTATTATTGGAGGTAATTATGTACTTGGTTTGTTGATGTTATTGTGGTCACAATACCTAACTTTCTTTGCAAACTTCATTTTTGGTTTTCTACAAATATTCTTACACAACGTTGCTAAGCGTCATTGAAAAGGTAGAAAATTTCTCCCAACATTGTAAGAGAATGTCTTAAAAGAGATGCAAATTTTGCTACTAATACTTTTACCTGGCTGGAAAGCCATCTGGTTCGATTGCAGTCAAAATAAAGTTATTCCGTTAAGTTGATAATAAATTTGAGAGAGTGAATTGAAGCAGATATCAAAACTATAATGTCCCTCTCCCAATCATGGCAGCTTGCTTGAAAAAATTCTGAAAGATGCTAGCCAAATTGTTCCAGATTTATAATTAGCATACAGAAGTTATGCCTAAAGTGGGCATCAAGAGACAGAACAAATAGACAAGATGTCTTTTCATGTAAAAGTATACTGTAGATACATGCTTAGTATCCACATGTAAAATCAAGAAAATTCAAAACTCAACATGACAGTTTGATGTGATGAAAACAGTTTGCAAAATAGATGAGGATTAGACAAGTCCAAAAGAGATTCACAAGCTCATAATAATAGATAAGAAAAAATATGAGCAGGCGACAGAACAAGATCCTGGTCAAACTGGGACAAATAGGATACAAATGGGAATAGCCATGCTAATAACTCAATAATAGACAATGATATTTGAATGAAGACAGAGTTTTTTCGAATGTTTGGACAAGGTCAAGTTTGGATTCTGTCAATTTTTCTTGGAATAGCTATAATTCTCGAATGTATAGACATGAATATCAAGATAAGACGTTTCGGATATAACCTTCATTAGTAACAAAGAGGAAGTGTAACAAAGTTTCATTAAAAAAAGAAAAGAACGATTAATAGAACAGGTGACAAGTGGAATGCAGGAAAGAATGCGACACAAGAACAGAAGTAGAAGATCAGAAAAAAATGCACGCCCATACAGAAACGCATAGTCTAACAGAGAAGATGCCTTTTAAAACCCACTTCAGTCGGGTGAAAACGTTGCTCCAATGGCTGCCAAGAAAATACAGTAGTGAGCATCACAAATGGTCGTCGGGCAAGGAATCTTCTATACCCACAAGTCACCATGTTGGTTGCAACTAGAGCAAATATAGTTAACCAGTGGAAATAGGCGAAAGATTTGGTCGACAGAACACCTCAAATACGAATATCTGATAAAGAAAGATAGCAGCAGCTTGAAAAGGTTAAAGTACAGGAAAGAACAAATCAACAAAAAGGTACAGTAAAGGTTAAAGGTTTTTAATGCTTATAATGAGTAGTAATTCCCGAAGTGGATCTGAAAAGGACATCAAGACCCATAACAATAGCATGGTCTGCAATTGTGCGAATTGCATCTCTTTTAAGAAAATGTGAGTTTTGAAGTACTACCTTATATATCCATCGATAAGTAATCCAATAAAGCTGAAATTTTTATGTGAAATACGGGAATCGACTTATGGCTACCGTTTGGTCGCTCACTGTAGAGATAAAAGCGAGATTGTTATCCTCAATTGGGTACATCAGCAATCAAGTTTTCAATATATCAAAAAAGTCAACCGTGTTTCATTTTTTGCAGCGAAAATGCAAAAAGAAAGCCATCCTTACTTTTGCGATTCTTACTTTTGCCTCACAGAAACTTTGTTATTTCTCAAAAAAGAATTCATCAAAAGGTAAATTTTAAAGAAAAATTATTTTGTTTTTAAACTATTCTCTTGGTTTTAAAGCCTATTTCAAGAATGATGTATGTATCTTCTAATATCATAATACGAGATGAACAAATTACTCCCGGTTGCAACTGCTCTCACAATAAGTTTCAAAATAGAAAATAATCATTTACATAAGCAACTATTTTAATTTTTGAGTAACAAAATTAAAAAAATCCAAAAAAAGTATAAATCTTTGAGTTTACTTTAAGACCGACAACAAAACGCAATATTGCATGTTAACCAACTTTTATGAAATGTTTCACCCATTTTATAAGATTTGGAAGCTATTTGCCTTGTTATGTCCCTTCTGGCTTTTCCTCTGCGGGGCGGCCTCTTGCTGTAATGGCAAAAAACAAATAATGATACTTCTTGGCAAACAACATTGGTACTTATGCGATCTTATCAGGCAGTTACTTGTTATTATCTATATCCTATGTGTCAAACTCAAGGCCCGGAGGCCACATCTCTTATCTAAACTCTCTGAACAGCAATAAAATTTCAAAGGAGGGGCATCAAAACTGGAACACATTAATCGCTTTATGGTTTTAGTCCCTACAAACCAGAAAAAGAAAAGAAGCAAATCAGAAGAATAATAAGAAAATAGGCCTAACATATCTTACCATATCTAGAGCCAACGTATTCTAAATGGATTCCCCATAAATTATCGAATTTTCTTATAGGAGGAGGCAAAACAAAGAGGGAATTTATTCCACTTAATGAAACTAAGCTAGAAGTGCATTTACTACAGGAAAGCGTTAAATATACAAGATTTTACGTTGCTATGATCATATATATTGAACAACTCTCGAGTCCAAAATACATGTCCTGTCCTGTTTATCACATTTTTGAAAAAAATCCAGCCAGGACTGTCTTATTCAAGACCGCAAATTTACAATTTTCAAGCCTCGTGTTATATCTTGCTTAAAAATACTAAAGAAAAGATTATTGAGATATTTTCATTGTATTGTTTTCCTATAAATACCTTTTTTAATATTTTAGACAAATTTTAAGTACCTACTCCGGTATCCAATTTAAAAGGACTGCTAGTCATTCACATTTGTTTGTTATGATTTGGAAATGCTCCAACAGACACGCTTTTTGCAGACCACTTGTTAAACGGAATTTGCAAAATGTTCCATTAGAACCCATCTACCATGGTCTCGAGAGCAATAGCTTGACATGGCGGCTGAACTTTTAACTTCCAGCTACAAAATCTCATTTAGATTGTTCTCAGTGTCGACAGCAGAGTCATAGTCCTCATTCAAAAAATTCTAACTTTAAGAAGGTGAAACATTTTAACTTTAAGAAAAGAGAAGTAATTAGCTTACTTGGCAAAGCCGTTCTTCGTATTCTTGGCCTTCTACCAGAGGCTCTTCTTCCGCTTGAAGCTGCAGACCTAGTGGTAACTGATTCTTCTATGCTTTGTGGAGCTTCTAGAAACAAAAAACTACTTATATACAGCTGGTTTATACATTAACAGTAAAATCTAAAGCGGAATTACTAGCTTAAAGGGCCTCTCCAGCCAAAAAAAATTTTTTATTGACTAAAAAGTTAGCATCTGGTGCGTGTATTATGGCAAAGTCGTTGTTTTTGCAAAATTCCAATTAGTTTAGAAGTTATAAGGCTTTAAAGTTGCACCTTTCCGAGAAAAAAACGACAAAAGCCGAGTCAGTTTGGTGACATTCTGACGTCACAATGTGCGGCTCTCGTTCGCCATGAATTTAGTATATTTTCCACCGAAGTGTGAAGGAGTCATGGTCACGCGTTGATAACTGCATCTAAATCTACAGCAGGAGCTTTTTAGGATCGAAAAATATTAAATGTTTACAATCATTCTAAGTCTGCGGGTCGGAATGTGTCCATGCTGTGTCACGACTTTGTTTTGATCACCTGTGTAGGCCCATAAAGCTATGGCTTCCTATTCCAGCTCTTCCCTCGCGTATAATTAATCGAAATTGACACTTCAGTTGTTCTCCAGAAACGATGAACAACTAACGGCTTCAGAATTGGTGTCTGAAATGCTCAAACTAAAAGCCGGTGGAACAAAACTGAGAGTACCATCACTTGCAGTGTTCAATTTGCGAATCGCCGTCGTTCGTTTGCAAATATGCCTTAGTTAAATTGACTAAATGCTTCCAGCTGTATCTCTTACATCTGAAGTAGAGGGCTGATAATCTTGTCAGTACAACCTATCAAAAATCTACCAGGTTGTTCTTTCAAGAGACTCACCTGAACACACATTTCTATAACAACTCCGTCTATAGCTACAGCTTTGCCGCATTTCTGTTTGATTTTAAATGACTTTAAAAACAACCAAATGGTACACATATGTTTTTGCAGTAATGGTAAACATGTTACCAATAACTTTGACACTTGATAGAGCAATCATTTACCAAAGGAAGGAAACCAAGTGACATATCTGAGAATAACTCGTCTTGGCTACACCAGGTACATACAGCAATATGGTATCAATATTTCATCCACACATTTTGCTTGGACTTACCTTGACTAGCATCATCTTCCTTGTTTGCTGTTGACTCACTTTGTTGCTCTGAAAAAGTGAAAACACGGGTAGAAGACAACACTAACAATCATTAAAAAAATCTGAAATTAAAATTGCCCTAAAATTCGTCTATATTCGTCCAAATTAGCTTCAACTACTTTGAATAAGCATGAAGTTTCATAATTCACACTAGAACCTACAAAACTCCTTACCCTTCATTAAATGTTTTCAACAAACCTTGCAAATATGAGAACAACAGAGCCATTGCCCCCTGGTCCTAGGTAATGAAATATTTGGCTAAATAGCCACGTCACAACCGAGGATTCTCATCTCTTTCAAACATTGACATCAAAGAATGCATTAAGCAATATTTCGGAAGAAAATAAGGGAACATATGATAAGAAACAATCTGATTGATAAAAATCAAGCTAAAAATGAAAACCTTGCAACTGTAATTTAATTTCTGCCTCTTCGGGCTCTTCTTTTGCTTGGTCAGCATCCTGATCCTCCTGCACAGCAGCATCCTCCATGCTCTCGGTTGGTGGAGCACTGCAATGGGCAAACAAGCAAAGTTAAGGTTCTTGCAGTGACTCAATTTCAAACATTGCATGATTAACTGGTGTGAACGACCACAACTTAGAGCGATTAGTCACTTTTCATACAATTAATGCATCTAAGAACTATTTTCTATTGATAATGAAGAATTTTGAAAATTAAAAACTTTGATAAGAAACAGTGTTCATTCCTATTGTTTTGTAATGAGACTTTCAAAATAAAAGCTACTTAAATGCCACATAATTTGACAAAAATTGATGCATTTGTTGAGGATATGCTGCTTCAATAATGAGAAAGAAAGATTGACATCATGGGTGATTTGTGCTTGAAAGTGTGGTTATGCAATCATCCCAGTGTATTTAGTTCCCTTTAACAGGATGGCAGGAAAAAGCCGACTTGCTGGACATACAAGAAGAGTAAACAAAGTTTAGATGATCAAATCATGAAGGAACTCACATATCCTCGAACAAATCGTCGTCGTCTTGAGTAGGAACATCTTGAGCATCAGGATTGTCATCGTCTTCATCATCGGCAGTCAGGTCAATATGCTGCGGTACATTCTGCTCTGTGTTGTTGTCTTCAGTCGTTAGTTCAGGAACTCTTGCTGTACTCGATTCACGAGGACGACCTGAAGAAGAATAAGAGAGTGACAATCACATATTTGGCTTTAGCTTATGTACTCCGTTAAAATCTTCTTATTAAAAGAATAAAACAGTTATGTTAGCAGTCTACCAAGGGAATCTGCAAAACCAGGTCTACAAATTTCTTGTAGTTTATAGTTAAACTCCTTTGGATCAAGATCATTTGTTTAACAATATCCTTGTACATTGGCAAGGAAACATTATCGAATGCCAGGGAAACTATGAAAGTCCCAAAGGCATGTTAAAAGCAGAATGGGTAAAATTTCAGATCAGATCAATTGAGAATGGAAGAATTTTTGATCAATTGTTATAAAGAAACTTTCTTTTCTAAACAGAAACAATACCAAGAAAGAAGTTTAGAAAGAAGATTACAAAACAATAATAGTGAAAAAATAGAATAATGCCTGACCATCAGCGGAACATGCGGAATTGAAAAATGGGGAAAATGTCTTACAGTTGAATGATTATTAGAGAATAAATTATCATATAGGCTGAATTAAGACATAGCGCAATGTGACGTAAGCCTATAATAATGACGAAGATACCTTGTAGGACACTTTGTCTTGACAATATAATTTCCTCTCCGAGTCCTTCCAACGGAGTTACCGTGACTTGAATGAAATGAATGCAAATGTTGGCTCAATTACAACTGAGCTTGCATATAAAATATGTGTCAGTATACACTATATCTGAAGTATATGTGTACATCGAATGAGGGTTTCCATAGGCATAGGTTTCCTGTGTCGAGCAGAGGGGGTGGGGGTGGGTATAGTGATGAAAGACATTTCCTGTTATGTATAACAAGGTCAATGGTCTAACATTAGAGATGAAATCCACCTTTTGCTTGCCTTTTTAAAATAAAAATTATGAAAGTATTCCTTTGAATATGATGTTATTATTTCAATCTCAAATTTCTTTTCAAAAATCGTTCCGAAAACTTCAATATGATAGAAATTGGAATGCTTTTTATATCCTTATTCAGTCATTTTGTTACGTTATTTGGTAGGAAAAGATAGCTCTGGAAATCTCAGTATGCAAACATGGGACCATAGCTCGATAAGAGTTGATGCCCATACAGTCGAGCCACATGCTGAAGTGCGGACGAACCAGAGAATCAACCTGAGCTAGTTTGTGGAGCTATGGCTCTACCAAAGGTTTCTAAAGAACAATTCTAGCATCAAGATTTTGGAATTATAAGAACAGCAAATTTAATGGCTAGTGGCAATTTACCAAAACACATATACACCACATATACAAAGGTAATGAGTAAAACTGAGGAAAAATAAAAAAGAGCAAAGTACCTGATGGAACAACCCCAATAGTTGTTAATGGGACACTAGCAGGTTCTTCTCCGGCAAGCAAATCGATCCTTGTGTCATCAAGACGCAAGCCTAGAATATAAGTAATTATTTTACAATGTTATACAATACAATCAAAGTATCAGCTGCTAGGAAAAAGTCGGAGCAGAGAATTATCTATCTTTATTCAAAGACACTGACTAAATTCGGGAAAATGCAAGCGACACCGTACACCTAAGCGCTCTCTTTAGCAGAATTCCACTTTCAGACAACATATGCATGCTGAATGGATCGAGAGGTAATAAAGCCATTATTTGCTAAAGCTGCAAGAAGAACATACTAATAACTTTGGGATTTTCCCAACTCTTAGGTATTTCTAAAAATTTTAAAAGAATTTAAAATTAGAAACAACAGTATAAATTTTGTAGGAAGAGGTGTGTAAAGATTTGAGACAAATCTTTTATGTTTGTATCCTGGTTTGCAAAAGGCAATCGTCTTTTTACTGAGACAAAATAACACAGGTAAAAGAAGATAGGCGTTTTTCATATTGGTCTATCTAGAGCCGTCTCCAGGGAGCCGAATTTGCTACAATTTTGGTATCATTAAAGCATTCATAATCTAAGAAGCATATCAGTTGAAAACCTTTCTTATATGGCCATATGATGCTTATATTATAAAAAAAGACTGTAAAATGTTGCAGTGTTTACCTTCATCGTTGACTCCGGAATCAAGTCCAACCGACTGCGAGGATCTATTTCCTCCTTCCGACCCAGAGGGAAATGAGAAAACTGGATGCCGAACTTGAGGTGAACTGGTATAGAAAACGTAAGAGCATTTAAACCAATCGGCGAACAACACAAACAATAAACGAGGGCAAATCATATTACAAGCGAAATATCTCTGGGCAAATATCTCTTGAAAACATTTTCCAAGTACCAAAGATGAATCAGTTTCATTCATAGATTTGTTAACTAAGCAGTTAATAGTTTGATTGAAATCTGAGGGAGAGTGGAAAACATTTAGATGGCTTACTGATCTGTAATCTGATGCTTCGTTTTAATGGATTCCCTTATAGTTTCTACTTGTTAGTTTAATTTTCTGTACTTGTAAACTGGCTCATTGCCTCGTTTCTTTAGAAACAGAAAATAAGTCTTAAATGAAGCTAAGCTTGTTGGCCTTTTCAGTATTTACCAAAGGAGAACGACCCTTGTTTTGTAAAGAGCACTTACCCCAAGGTATACTAAAATGATAGGCTATCAAAATTCTGATAAGTTTTGCAAAAGCAAGAAGAAGGAAACGTCATACCTGACTGCTTCTGCAAACCCATCGGATCTCTTTGGCTCATAAAGTGTTGGTGTACTTGGGACAGTGCAGTCATCTGCTTCGTCGAAAGGGCCACTTCCACCTTGTCCCTAAACAATCCGTTTGCATATATTAGAAAACGTCACATGAAAATCTATCTTTCGAAAGAAGCACGTGCGCATTTTATTCGCTATTCACTCCAGGCCGAATGATGACAAATTTAACACAACTAAAATGCATGATAAAATATAACAAAAATCAAGAAACGTAATTTCAACATAATTCCACGCACAGTGGACATATTTTCCTTACTATAGAAGGAAATGACATTCATATTTTCAGCAGTTCTCGTATACAGTACACCGATGAGGTAAAAGCAGTAAAGCTTAAACAAAACATTGGTTCGAAAGGCCATTGTATCAAATGCACATTTGAAATTAAACAAACAAGGACCAGGCAGTCAGAGAAAAACAAACTTTAAAAAACATGTAATAAGGAAAACTCGACATCTATAACATAAGTATCCTTTTCGTCCGACCTTCTTCAGAGTTTCTCAAACATCGAGCACTTCCATGAAAACAAGGAATCAATCAAAGACGAGATTCTTCCTTTCGATCCGTATCATGGAATAAATGTTCAATTAGTTGCTGGTTAAGTTTTATAGTCATTATAATACGCTATTTTGTGCCAATTTGGTATATATCTTACTCGATCGAAATTGAGAGAGATAAACTCGGGTAATAGAAAAGACTTTGGATTGCATTACTCACAGGCGGAAGGGAAAATGATGGCAGTTGATATCGTCTTCTGAATACTCTGCAAATAAAAAAACCACAGAATATTTTATTTAAAGGACAAGTGACACACTTTTCACCCTATCTTTTCTTTTCATTAACTTATAGATCATCTTTTAGAAGTAAGTTTTTCCTGGTTTGGAACAAAAAATTCTAATCAGGGGGCGCAGGGGGCGCAGGGGGCGCAGGGGGCGCGATTTTGCTTTTTATCATGTGACCCTATGACGTACATTGTGATACCTCAGAATTTTCCTGTAATTGATAGAGAGTTTACGAAACACGACGCGACAGGTCCAGATGAACTGTATTCGTTTACAAGCGTGTTGTAAACGTTAATATTGCACTCTATACCAGTAGCAGCAATAACAAATTATCACAATCTACGTCACGGTGTCACGTGATTCATTTCCCGCCATAATTTCAAATGGGTTTTTAAGTGGGAAAATGAAATCAGAAAGGAAAAATATTTCAACAACACTCTCATACAGCATTTTACTTGAAGTTAAAAGAAAAAAAAATTTGGCGCCAAAAGCGTGTCACTTGTCCTTTAAAGAGCATTGGAAAAGGTGATTGCTACGAGCTTTGTAAGCAGCAAAGTGACCTTGTTACGTCCTCAAATGATAAAGGACCATTTGCATTGAACAAATCATAAAAACTGGAAATATTGAAAGGTATTTTTCCCGGAATATGGAGGCTTGATGCGGTTTCTGCAGGGCAAAATCTGCAACAACCATGAGAGATATTCAGGTAACAAAGAAGAAACCATTTCATCAATGCCTTAAGCTGTAAAAGTTTTCCTTTTGATGCATGGTGTGAGTTGAAATTACTTAGCTTTAATTAAGTTAATTCTTTAAAATCATGAGAAATGGAGATTAGATAAATCGAGGCAAAAAACCAAGTCGCTATATTAAAAATGCTGTTTTTAATGGTGTCTTTGCAAAATTAAATTAAAGTAACAGTTAATTAAAAATTATTGGGGGTAAATTAGATTGAAATCAAACGGTGAACATCCTGCTCCAATCTAGCTACAAAAATGAAAAAGATGCCACTAAAATAGCCCTGACCCAATCCTAATTTTAAGATACAATAAAACTCTCCCTGTCTCCTGTCTTCCAGTTGCTGTTCAAGGTACCAAACAGCTTTTTCTGCCTGCTCTAATGATTTCTATTCATAAAAGGACAATTTTGCTATGACTAAAACTGAAGAAATCAACACTAACCTCCCCCTGCCACTTTGGTCTTGGGCAGCAAGCATAAAAGCAGCTGGCGATGGTTGGCGCCTGTGCGTTTCTCTATTTGGTTCCTGCGGGGGATGAAACAATACCATATCGATTAATTTTGTTTCACTACGCATGCAATTTCTAAAATGAAGCCTCCATCCACTCCTGCATCGAAAGTTAAGTTTTGCAATAATATTAGAGCAGAACGTAACAACAATTCTTACCGAGACAATATTAGTGAACGAAAAGGAAAAAGTTGCTTTTCTGTCAAACTTTGCATACATCAGAAGGATCTTTCTTTATAAGAAAGAAATGATATAAGGCTTTTTGGAAAATTTAGGGCGACACTATTTACAGAAGAATTATGTTCGATGTGGCACATTTTAAAAAATCTTTGGCTTGTTTGCGGAATAAAGGTTCAAGCCGTCAGCCACTTATTCGGAGGGGTGTGCACAACCGAAACTGCAACGGTCTTTCTGTTTAGCTAACCAAGGCTTTTCTTTAGCGCATATGTTTTCTTATTATTATAAAAACCACCAGACAACTTGAACTCTACCCAATATTCCCTATTTTCTGATGCATAATTTTTTGGAAGAAAGTGTTAGACCAAACGGATTTTAAGAGGCATGTTTAAATGACTAGGTATTTTCAAGTATCATTGGCATATTCGGGTGGCATCATTCAACCCATACCACGAGGAGTAATTACAACCAGGGATGTACACAAGAAGCATTGTTAGAAACCTACTCTCAAGTACATCGGAGGTGTAATTGTCGTCAGTCTTTCCTGTTGACTCGAAGACTGCTGCTCGTTCACATTTGAATCTTCTTCCTCTTCTTCCATGTCGTTCCCTTGGTCATCCATATCCTCTTCATCCTGATTTTCCTCTTCTTCCATTTCTTCCCCTTCCATTTCTTCCTCCTCCTCCTCATCAAAAGCCTCTCCAGTGCCTGTCATTAAAAACAAATTTTCATTTTAAGGAGCATTTTCATAAGGCAACCAAATCACGATTTGGTGATGGATGGCTACATAAAAAGAAAATAGTCAAATGAAACCAACGAAAAAATTCGTTCAATTGCTTCCAGGGACAATTACAAATGCCACCGATCTGACTTAGTTCAAGAAAGGCGAGATAGTTCAGAGATGGCAATGATGGCACCTGAAAAAGCACCGTGAAATCTGCAATGGCAATGGTTATTCTCACAAGCAAACAAATCTACGTAACAGAAAAAGATCTACTGAGAATTTTTCATAAAAACCTCTAACCATCATAATCGAATTCTGCATCTTCTGCTTCCTCCTCGTCTTCCTCAGAATCTTCATCTTCAATCTCCTCCACACTTCCTTCGCTGCCTTCGTTTTCTTCAACCTCCTCCTCATCATCATCCACTTCCCCTTCTTCGAATTCTTCCTCCTCCCCATCTCCATCAGAAATGGAAATTACTTCGGACTCCCTGGTTTCCGTATCCTGTGATCAAAACACAGCCAGTTTCAAATCTGCCTATTTCTTTTTCATTCTATTTTCATTTTTCACAAAATACATCACAGACACAAGGCGTTTTTTGAGCAACAACTTGTAATATCATGGTCTTTACTAGCCACTGTCAAACTTAATATATACGAAGCAATCATGGGTGCATCACAGACACAAGGCGTTTTTTGAGCAACAACTTGTAATATCATGGTCTTTACTAGCCACTGTCAAACTTAATATATACGAAGCAATCATGGGTGCATTGGTATTTCTTACGAAAACTACAATGCTTGCTAGCTTCCGTCAATTCTCTATTTATATTAGATTAATGCAAAAATAAATAGTTTATTTTCCCCTTTCCCCAAAAAAAATTGGAATTGTACTTCAGCCACCCAAGCTTTAAAATTAAAGGTAACGTTCAAATGGTGTATTCTATGGAGAGAAGAGTGGAAATTGATAAGGTTAACAACAAAAATGCCGTTGGTGTTCCAAGGTCTTCAGCAGGCTACGTAACATAAAGTTGTTATGAAAAGCAAAAAAGAGATGACAAAGGATGGCTATGAGAACTCTCAAACTGGCCTTCACCCAGGACCGATATTTTAATGATCATCTCCTGATATATGTGATTTTCCTCTCTTTTTGATTTCCTCTTGTTGTGTACGACCGACAATTAACTCATCTAAAGGGTTTATAATCCCGTCAATGCTTTCAGTAAAGATTGCCAACAACGTCGATTGTTTAATACTGCTATTTGTAATCATGCTGTTCATTGCTAATAAGGCCCTTCTGTATCGGAATAAATAATGCATTTTGAATGGAAGGCAAAATCGCAAACATAACGAGGTGTTCTTCATGACGTGGGGAACTGTCAGGAAGGGGGGGCTGGTTACCTTAATATGTTCAAAGGTATGGGGCGTGCCATTACTTAGGGTTGCCTTTTTCTGAAAAGTGCAGAATCATCGGTATCAGTTTTTGAAATAAGTGCGGAAATGTGGGTACCATTTCCATTTTGTGAAAATATTGCAAAACTATTAGAAGGGAAATTTAGCATAAACAAAATAAATGCCCAGTTAGAAATGAAACTATGAAGTATGTGCAATATAGTGATAATTTGGGGCAAAGGAAATACAAAATTTGTTTGATGATTTTGTTATGTCTTGAAAAATGTTCTTTGACTTGCGGAATTACAGTCATTGTTTTCATAATATTTGCCGAATTGTGGATCAAAATTTTTCAAATAAAATGGCACGTCCCCTTCCAAAATAAGCCTTAGTTACCCCCCCCCAAGTCCAAGGCAGCATATAGGTGGGCATTGGAGGGAATGCTAGAGTTTGAGCTGTAATTCGTTGGTTATTGTTTACACAATTGAAGCCCAAAATGAGTTATCTATTCAACCATTACAAAAAGGAAACTTTCGTACCTCTTCAACGCGCTGTCGTTTTTCTTCCGGGCTTTCGTCCATCTCTTCATCTTCTTCCCTAAATTTTGACAATAGCACAAAGTTTTTAAGCCTATTATCCGAACGATTTAAATTCATAAGCTAAGATTGTTATTGAAATCATTCTGTGATTTCAAAGCTTAGAAAAACCATTCTGTTTCTAAAACGGGAAGACTGATGTCGAATTGAATAATCTGAACAATTTTATCAAACGAAGCACTTGAGTTGCAGGAATAGAGTAGCAGGGACATTAACAAGAAGGAGGTTTGAGACCAGATTAAGCTTTTTTGAAGCGGAGGCTTACTTGAATAATGCAATCTAGAACTTTGGTAAGGCAAAAAATGATAACTTCAGTGACAAGATTTCTTTTCTTAGCATACCTTATTAGTCCCAGCACAACAACAATACATCACGAAAATGACAGGGCACGACAATGACACGTCACAAGAACGAGTATTTTCTACAAAACAACATCAGTATAAATAAGCAACTGTAACAGTGCACTTTAAAAACTCTGACAATACCTTTGAGTTGGCGATTCCGCAGAGCGCCTTCTTTTCGCAGTTGTAGCATCCTGACTGTACCCACTCTCGTCCATAAACCTGCCAGCCTCGAAACCTGCTTGTTCGACCGAGCTATAGCCTTGGGCTTCAGAAACTGATGTTGAAGATGGCATGTCGGAGCCTTGAGTCAGTCCATCCCTAAGAAGCACAACGACAGCTTAATAATTTTGTTTCAACGCTCATTGCCATTGATAAACTGCCAATCTTAAAACTGATAGAATGAGTTGAAAAATATTCTTTCTAGAGAATAGGAGAGAAGCAAACATTGAAGAATAGAAGAAGTCATCTTACGTTGCAACGCTAGGGAACAACCAGTAATCGGTAACATGTATGTTTATAGTGAAATTTGTATGCATATAATGACATACATTGAAATTAAATAAATAAACTTAAACATAATCACTTCGTTTATTCTTTATGCAACAAAAGGTTGAAATAAAAAAGCCACATATCCACGACGTCGCATAACAAAGTAATTTTCATAAGGAGATATAATGGCAGAGGATATTAACCGTTCTGCCTGATCCTCATTTTCCACTTGCTCCTCACCAGCTACAAACATAGGGCCACCGACATCTGTCAAAAGGCTGTCAGCTATATCGATTATTTCTGACGGGCGCATCTGCTCGGAGGATACCCCTTCCAGTTCCTCTGCTTCATCACTCCTCCCTTCCTCAGTTCCAGCAATTATTGGCGTCACCGTTGCCTGTGTGTCTGACCCAGATGTTCCCTCCTGAGCCTGAACGGACGCTAAAACTCTTGGTGCCTTGAAGACTGAAGCTTGCCCCCTGTTAGATGCTGAAGGTGCTTCATGCATTCTTTGCTCGGGAGCAACGCTGGCTGTGCTAGCTCCGGCTGCACGTGACGGGTGCTGGGGGATAACTACTTGCGTCGTTGTTTGTTGGATGGGGGGAACAGTGGGGCTTACCATTGCAGTTGGTGTCTGTGCAGGAATCAACGGGCGAATACTGGCGGTTCTCGAGGACATGGGTTTTTGTGGCTGATTATTTGACGTTGAAGCTGTCGGTCTTACTGTCGCCGTCAATGGCGTAAACGCTGAAATGACGAAGAAATCCATGAGCCTCAATTTCTAAGCTAAAATAATGTTCTTTTAACATTTATGAAATGTATCCTATTAATTGACGTAAACATGAAAATTACCTCACCTGTAAATAGTTTTACAAAAAGAAAAATAACGCATAAATAAGCTTTCTTACTTTACATTTTTGTCGCATGCTTTACCCTATTTCTAGAGCATTTCGTCTACGAAACAAGCTGTTCAGGAGGCCTTATAAGATAAGCAGAAATAAATGAATAAGAGTGATCCAAGAGCAACAGTGTAAGCGGCAGAAGATCATACCGGCCGCCTCCGACACTGCGATGTCTTGTACGTGTTTGATAGCCGCTTGCGACTTGAGCTTCGAAATCGTTTCCTCCGCATCTGCAATTGCCTTCGCAAGTTCATTTGACCGCTCATCCGATTGTCTGTACAGAGAATTACAAACACATGAAAGTCAAAATGCAACACATTAAAGATGCAAGGAAATATCTGGAGTCCTTAAGCAAAAAAGAGTCAAAAGGAAAATCATCGAATATTGATTTTGTAGTACCTGTTCCCAATGAAAGCTGGCCTACTCTACCTTCTTTGAGGATTTTGATGAACAGAGCCTTTTAACTCCGAGACATTGAGTTCATTAATTACAACAACAACAGCACCAAGTATCGCTGCAATACGACCTCACAACAGCGTTGATTAAACCATTCTTTAAATTCTATTTTGATTTTTCACTATTAAAGAAATAATGTTCTTTTTCTATCTAAAAATCATGAAAATGTCATCAATTTTAAAATGCTAATTTTCCTTCAAGTGAATTTTCTCTACAATTTCAACATACTTCTTATCTTCTTCCAAGTTTCGAATTCGATCACTTAAACTTTGGTTTTCGTTCTTCAGCTCGTTCAACGTGGCTTTCATTTTCTCAGCCTTCGAATCAAATTGACTTTTCATTGCCGTGAAGCGCATTTCCTTCTCCTTAAATTCGCTTTCAACCGTTTGATGTTTTTCCTCAAGCTCCTTTATTGCATTTTTCAGTTCCATGTTTTCATTTGTTGATTTATCAACTTGTGCTGCAAATAATATTTGAGAAAAAATAAAAATCTGCATGCTCTACATTCCACGTTACAATATTAAGTGTAATTTACTCAAAATTTACGGTATAACTAATTTACTTAAATTTCCTCGCTTGAAAATCATTGTAAGATTCTCCAAACAACCTTAAAGAATAAGTCTTTAAAGGCATTGAGTCATGACAAAATGGATTGGGCATACCCAAAGTGCCAAAATCCGCTGAGTCACGATTTTAATGACTGCGATGCTATTGGTTGACCTTAAACTGGTCACATGAACTCACCTCGTACTGAATAACAAAACAGTTTCCATCAATAGCAAGTTCTCAACAACGGATGCCAATATCACATGAAACAGCAGTGATCACGCCGAAACTAAATGACCACCTATAGAGAAGGCCTATTTACCATGACTCAATGCCTTTAAGGTTGTTTGAAGAATCTTGGGAATATAACATGAATCTTCAATTTGTAAAATGTGAACAGATTTATGGAACTATCAAGATTATTTAACAGAAAAATTTAAACATTGGTTGCAAACATAAGAATAACAGTAACATTGACTGCTATGCAATATAAATAATAAAAAGCATCAACTTGTCCTCCAGGTCATCAAATAAGTAAGCAAATAAGTCATTAATAAGTGATTGGCCAATTTTGATATTTTAAGATATAATTTTCTTGATTGTTTCAATGAAAACTGGATGCAACTTGAAGGCAATCGAGTCTGGATGGCTTTTGATTGACAGATGGCCTTTGATTGACAGATGGCTTTTGATTGACAGATGGCTTTTGATTGACAGATGGCTTTTGATTAACAGATGGCTTTTGATTGACAGATGGCTTTTGATCGACAGATGGCTTTTGATTGACAGATGGCCGTTGATTGACAGATGGCCTTTGATTGACAGATGGCTTTTGATTGACAGATGGCTTTTGATCGACAGATGGCTTTTGATTGACAGATGGCTTTTGATCGACAGATGGCTTTTGATCGACAGATGGCTTTTGATTGACAAATGGCTTTTGATTGACAGATGGCTTTTGATTGACAGATGGCCTTTGATTGACAGATGGCTTTTGATTGACAGATGGCTTTTGATCGACAGATGGCTTTTGATTGACA